AATGTCAACTTTGGCAGCAACCAAGTTATAACCACCACTCGTTTCGAAACCCTGTTAAAACTTTGAAAACGCTTGGAGAGCGGAAGACGCCCTAATCTGGCTCACGGTAATCGAACGGGCAGAGCTTGCATTAGGCATAGTTGAGCTACTGTTGGTATTGGCGTTTAATGTCAGAGGATGCATTGTTAATGCGCTGCCTAGTCTTCTTCTTCGGTTTTAATGCGGACACTGCGGAGGATGATTCGGATTTACTGTATGTCAGGCGTGCAACAAATGCATCGCTTTTGGTATTTCTCATTATTTCAAACATTTCCACCAGTCATCCGTACATCTGTGATGTCTCCCGTACAAACGTTATTAGTGAGAATACCATAGATACTGAATAGAACCTCAGTGAACATGCTTCTCTCCGAAGTATCCATAACTGATTCACTCTGAGCTTGGAACATTTGCGATGGAACTTGCCTTGGCAACGGCTACAATAAAGTCCAATCGGTAGGATTGCATGGCATGAATGAAGGCCTCAAAGTCTTGTCGAGCTGAAAGCGGTAACCTGGTCTTGTGAATGGTCACCAAAATCCACTGCCATGATCAAGGTTATGCCCATAGAGGCGCGAGCGCTTATGGTTTCCTGTCGGTCGCTTGTGTGTTGCCTTACCTGCATGTTCAGGGTTGTCACATTCTCTGCAACTGGCCCATACGGGGCTGGTTTAAGCGGCTAGATCTTCCACGTGGCAAACAAAACGGCTGAGCGATAAGGACACAAATTTCACACTACCCACTTTGTTGATCGGTCAACAGCATTGTTTGCTGTTTCCTCAGATGAAACGTGTAATTGGCTTTCGTTTGAGAACACAAATGTTTCCTTTTGCTTCGTGGTTCGGAAAATTCCTCGAGGATGTTTTTTGGGAATGGCGCACAAAACTCAACGGGGAGCTAATAGGCAATTCACACAAGCTAGATCCGAAAGATGGAGTTCACTAGATAGCGCTGATGAATCTCAGCCGATTTAGTGTGAGCACGCGTTTGTGTGGCAGTCTTCTACAGACAATGGCGGCAAAACAACGTGTTCAGTAATGAGCGATTAGAACGCATTTTCACGGACCGGGATTCTAACCAAAGTGTTTTGCTGATAATTTGGTGAGGGTGGTTTGGTACGCCATGCTACATGTGGACTATGTTGCTTATTGATGTTGTGTGGTGTATAATGAAGAGTTTCAGGAGCATTTATGGTACGTGGTAATATTAAAGTTTGTAGATTTTAACACTGTTGTTGTTCAAGTAGCTAACGAAGTGCAGTTATGAGCCGCGGCGCGTCGTTGGAAGCTGCCATCATGGTGGACGATCTTCCTTCGTTTAATCGTTTGGTGAAATTATATATTCGCGAACATTTGCGGACATGGAACAGGATGTGAAGAAATTTCAGCAGGCTACTGCGACGGCCTTTTATAAGCGGTCAGTGGTTACTCGAACTCGGTACAAAATTTACTTAACTTAACTTACTTTACCTCCCTATAAATATACTAAGTGCATTCCATTTTATTATTGAAACCTCTTTAATTATTTCTTAACGCTCGCCATTGCCAAATTGATACATGCTGTTCCATTTAACCTCGGCCCGTAACCAAAATTCCGCCCTTGGTTAGAGCCCAGCTCCCGCATTTTCATCCAAGGCCGTTCAAAGTGACCATAAGGTCGTTCAGAGTGACCACGAGGTATTTCAAAGTGACCTACTTCGTGCAGGTATTATGCAGCCGCTCCCTCTAACCTTGCCAAAGTACTTCATGAACTATAGGCATTACTCGGCGCTCTGGATTTTCCTTCAGCACAAAATAACCCACCGGTACCTAAAAGCAAGTCCGCTAAGTCAAGCAGTCTACTACGTAACAAACTACCCTGGCATACCTTCCATCTTGGCACTTATGCGAAGCGTGCTACTACGCATAGCAGTTTCTCCTCTACTCAGCCGCGGAAACTTCCAAGTCCCAAACACGCAACAATAACGTCACCGGCCACCTCTTGTAGCAGTCTGGAGATTCCCCGATTTGCCTGTGTAAAATTCTAACTAAAATTCTTTATTTGTACACCTAGGCAACCGGTGTGGTTTGTTGAACTGATTGCTGAGTTCAAATGCTTGACTTGCTCATCGCCATTTTTGCTTGGCGCCCGTAACGGTTGCAACTAGCGACTGCCCTGTTTGCTGTGCATGCTCCGTTCCCCTAGCTAGAGCGTCCACGGTGTCATTCCTTTATAGCTAGATAGCAGGGAATCTTTTACCTTACCAATAAAAGTTTCCCTGCAAGTCGATCTGTCTCCCCGGATGGCTCTCTGGGCTCCCGGCACAGGCGACTCGCTAAACTCTCCGTCAGTATCCTGCTTTCCTTTCAGGACTGTATATCTGGAACCGAGTTCCTGCTTGATACCGAGCTGAAGTTAGCTTGGCCCCTACCGCAACTGGGGAGACTACTCAGCCATTTAATCTCAATAGTTCTACCGCCAACGGCACACTCT